GTAGGAAACAGGGTGATCGACGTCTCAGTATCTTGAGAGGAGGGAAAGTGACCAGAGAGTGAATTTGGGCTGATGTGTAGAATGGGCCAAGGTTGCGAGCTGAGGAGCTGGAAACTTTGGTTGTGAAGGACAGGAACCTTGGACAGTGAAAGGAAAGAGAAGGAAAATTCAGGGGGTGGGCAGTTGGGGGTGACGAGGGAATGAGTTCATCAGAGTTTCCTCCCGAATGCAGCTATTTAGTGAAGCATGGAAAAGGTAAGGAAGAGCTGAAATTACACTTTCAAGTTCATGAGGAGATTCTATGAAGAGATACACAGTGTGAGAGACAGAAAGCAGACATGTTTCAAGTTTGATTTTAAGCCCCTGTAATTCCAGAGGGGTTTCAGAGTGACTGAGCGTGGGGATATTGGGACCCAGGTTAGGAAGACACAGAGAGCCTCCAGGAAGGAAACTGGTTACCCTGCGTGGGCAGCAAGGTTTCGAACACGAGATTCATCATTAGGTCAAGCCCCAGCTCTTCCCCGGCCCCTCACCTCCCTCTCTCCCTTCAACTCCCACAGTCTAAGTGTAGAGGGAATGTTTTCTGATAAGAATTCTTGGGAAAGAGGCAATTTCTAAACTTTCTGAACTTGAAACAAAAAAAATAATTACATGAAACCAATATTTTCAAGGATGTTTCTCCCACACTTCCTGGTTCCATGGTGCTCTCAGAGGGTTCCCTGAGCAGAGGGAAAAGCAGAAAGAAGAAAAACAGGGGGATGAACTCTTCCTTCCTGTGACTGATTTCTTTCACGGGGGTGGCCTTCCTGAGGTGGGGAGAGCCTGGCCTGTCACTTGGGAGGGAGCACAGCAGGGCGTAACTCTGTGCCACCTTCCAGGCCAGTTGGTCCTTCTCGGTAGCTCATAACAGCATCCTAGATAAGGAACCCTGGGGTCCGCATGAGCAGCAGACATCTAGAAGCCAAAAGGAGACCCTTCAGGCAGAGTAGAAAGCAAGAAAGAACACATAAGAAAGTCACAAAATCAATCCTTAAAAAAAGAGCTGAAGTAAAAATATACTTTCTGGTGTTTATATCTTTCCTGTATGCACGATTCAATATTTTTACTACTCTGTATCGCAGTTTGTGATTCTGATGGCTACATCAAGGAAAATTTCCAGTCTGGGCTCTACATTGAAATTTGGGGGTAGAGAAAGGCTCTTTTAAACCAGTTAACATAGTATTTGCAGAGTTCCCTGTGTATAATGGAAACAAGAGGGCACATAAAGTCCCCATCAAGGATAATACCCCCGCCCCCTGCTGCCCCATCTAATGGGGGAGATATAGTCCCTCTCTAAGAAGTCCCTGCTACAATTGGGAAGGCCAGGGAAAGCACAGAGGCTGCCTGCTAAGGAAGCCATTCAGAGCATAAACAGCTCACAATGACAACTGCCTCTCTTGCTGAACTCTTAATATGAGCCTGGCATTTTATGCATAATCTTTCATTTGGTCCTCACAACAATTCTTCAAGGTAAGTATCATTATCCTCATTTTGCAGATGAGGAACATGTCACTCTAAGAGGTTCAATAACTTGCCCAAGGTCACACAACCAGAACGTGGCAGAACATAGATATGAACCCAAGTCTTGCTGGTGTCCACTATGCACACTGCCTTCCACTGGACAAGCTCTCTAAGGGAAACAATTGGATAATTCAAGCCAAAGCACACAAAGTAACATTTTACCCAAATGGTCTAAGTCCTATCATTTCCCCCTTGATCATCTGAGTAAAACACACCTGCATTAAAATACCAAGAACATTCCATGTTCCCTATATCCCATGTGTCAACCGCTCACTGGGTAGCAGAACAAGACATGAGTCAGGAATGTGGAAGAGGCTCTTTATTATGTCTTAACCATGGGAGTAGTAATTCAGGCATACTTCTGATTCACTGGCTTCCCAGTCCATCAGAGAGAAACATCAGAAGATACAGCCAACTGGAGATGCACTTAAAAACATATTGCCAAATAGTTGTCTCAAATTCTTTATGGACCAAGAAAGGGTTTAAATCTATAATATATAAATATGTTCCCCATTTGTGGCTATTATTATACCACTGGATGTCCAATGATGTCTCTTATGTACCCAGGGTCTGCAGAACATCTCCGGTAGTTCAGAAAGCTCATGTCATGAGTGTCTAGTATTTGAATGGAGCCTACATTGTATTATATAAAGTATTTATAAAAAGGGTGTCTATACCTGAATAGTGGAAGATAGGGGAAATATCAACATAGGACCCTCCTTAAAGATAAAAGAATAATGAGGAGGTCTGGTTAATAAAAGCTACTGCTCTACTGAAGTGGGTCTCACTGATTCTTGCCCCTCATGGAAAATGCCAAAGACAAGTACTTCTGGACAGTGTGTGCTGTCGGATGTGAAAATGCAGTTCAAACACTACAACACTCAGGTTTTCCAGCGATGGAGTGTGCCGAGGATTCCAAACCAGGCATCTCACAGAATTATGAAGGAAATATATCTAAAAGCTAACTACAGGCCCTACCCTGGCCTACTGAATTGAAATGCGAAAGGTATAGGGTGATTGGATGTGGAACATATATATGAATTCCAAGCTGAGAGATATTTTCTAAATAATAGAAATAATTATCATCTCAAATTTAATGGCCTTTCCCCCTCCCCACGCTTTCATTTAAACTTTTCTTATTAGTTCTTTTTAATGATGATTCTTAGAAAATCATCTCAAAGAGATTATGAATGGCTGTCATTTTTGAAGTTAAGAGCTATGCATTGGTGTTCACTACTCTTTCATGAAGTTACCAACTGGGCTATGTAAAATAATAGCCTCCTATATGAATGTGTCTGTATTTTCTCAGGGTTTTAGAGAACAAGCATTCAGTTTGCCTACATGCATTTATTTCTTAGATGTCTCACACATCAAACCAGCAGACAGATGTGCAGGTGCACAGAGACAATTATAACTTGAGGTTTAAAAGGGGGTAAAAATTCTTCTGCAAGACCTAATGGAGATATATATATATATATATATATATATATATATATATATATATATATATATATATATATATATATATATATATATATACACACATATATATATATAGAAGTGACCCAAACCTCTTCTAGATAGGTCCTTGAGGATAAGATGGATCCACAAAATACGTGAGATGCTTTCCAAGACCTTGGGAATCCACAAACATCCAGACATCACTTAGGAAGATCAATTCTCCTTTGCAGGAGCCACCGTAGCACAATGGTTAAGGACAGCCTTGGAATCAAACCAACCACAGTACAGATCTCACCCCCTTCACTTGCCAGTTGTATGATCCTGGGCAGGGCCTCTCAGGGCTTCAGTCTGCAAAATGGAGGTAATGGTATTACCTACCCCATAACGTTGTGGTGCAAAATACATGAAATGATGCAAGCCAGACACTCAGCTCTTTGCCTAGCATGTGCTAAACACTCAACAAATATTAGCTATTAATAATAATAATGACAATAAAAATATTTTTAAAAACTGTCTCTCCCTTCAGAATTTTAAGAACTGTGTAAAGCATAAAATGTCAAAGTCAGCATCTATAAAACCGTTAAATTCTGACACTAAATTCTCCAGATCTTATAGCACATCTATTCATTAAACTGGTAATGACAGTAACTTATAGTGTGGGGAACTAACTAATCAGGACAGCAGATACCACCCCTCTGCCCCACCTCCCTATTAATGTAATGTATATAAAATTCCTAAGACCCTTTGCCTTAGTAAAGATGAACTCTGTGGTCACCAGCATCTTCTATGAGTTACTTCACAAATGCATGTGTACAGCTCCTGGCTTTCTTCAGAATCTCCTCTCCTTTCTGAATTCTAAGTATCCCCTATCTTCCTCACAGCTCAGAGTAACTGCCATTTTACCTTGATGCTAAAGTGTTTTCTTTCCCTAACGAACAGTTTTTGGCTGGCTGGAGTTCTTACTAAGGGAGTTTGAGATTGTTTTCTCATTTCTATATGGCAAGTATGATGGAACCTTTAGCATCATAATCTGAGCCACAGTCAAATATGAGATCATACTCTTTAATTTACCTTGGACTTTTCTCTTGGCTGAGCCATTGCTTTTTAGAATATTTCACACCTCCAATAGCACTAGAAGTTGACTTTCTTTGAGGGGCCTTTATTAAAGAAACGATTCCATTGCTTCTGGTGTCTGAGTAGAGTAGGTGTGGCCACACTGGAATATGGAAGCTGGGTCTCTGGAAGGCTCCCTCATTCACTCATTGATCCACTCCTTCAGCCAGCCATCTGGCCTCACAAACCAACCACATGCCTTGGAAAAATCATAGATTACCACATGTCATGAACCCTGGAGATACTTGAAATCGGGAATTTTAGGTCACTTACTGCCAAAGACGTGCTACATAAATGGTTAAACTTTTCTCAGTTTCTTTCCCCCCAAATGAATGTCATAGTGAGACTTGCTGGCAGGGCACAGGGATCCTAAAAGAGTTGAAACAAAGAAACAAAACAGAAGGGTATGAAATAAACACTAATGATCGCTGTCACTAGGACTTCATATTTAACGCATCTCTCTTTATATTCTTCCTGGCTCTCCTCCTGCTTTTATGTGTGGGATGTTGGGAAACCACAGGACTGCTCAACGAGCATCTAATGCGAGGAAAAGTATATGGATTTGAGCCCTGCCAGAGTTAGTGAAAGTGGCCAGTCAGCGATCCTCATCTGGATCCTGGACTTGGTTGGCTTCTTCTGAACCTTCAGACCAAGGAATGTCCTACACAGCACTGTGTTCCCTCCATTTCCTCTTCTAAAAAAATGGTGGTGTACCTGCCAGGTTGCACTCTGTGCATTGGGTTGCTAGAAATATAGTAGGTTGCACTGATGATTTAACTCTGTTTTCTATAAAGGGCTACGGGATCTCGTGCAGATTTTTGCAAAGTCATACGCAAATCACAGAGCCCCGGCCCTTTTCTTAACAGGATGGCAACCTTGCTCCTCGGTGGCACCTGGGACCTGGAGATCCTTTCTCCACTTACGTTTAGCGCGCAGCCTGGGACTTGTCCCTGCAGCTCACCGGGTTAGCCGTGCCGCCGTTGGGACCTCCCACCTGGACTCCCATCACCCACCTCTCTTGAGACTGCTCTGGCAGGGCTGGTGTGGGGTACAGCCTTTGCTCAGAGGGCAACATGTTCCAGGCAAAATCTGCCCCCCTGGGCCATGGGCTTGCCCCTCGGGCTCCCTGCTTCTCTACCAGGTGCGATTCGAGGTTGCTGAGCTTCTCTCCAAAGCTGAAAATGGTGGGACGGTAGGGATCTGTGAGAGGCCCCATGACCCAAGCCACTCCCCCTGACTCCCAATCCAAACACCAGGCACCCCAGGTCCTCTTCGCCCCGGGCGTCTGCCACGTGAGTGGGCATGCTCATCCAAGGGACATACTTATCTCTGGAGTTTTTGTCCAGATTGAACATTTCTATTGTCAGTGGCTCCTGACCTGGAAAACCCATCATTCTAATCTAGCCCTCCTCCCCCACATCATGAGAAAGAGGGAGGAGGAATAAGGGGTAGTTTATGGTAGAGAAGAGGAGGGTTAACTCTAGCGGTTCCTGAACATTGGCCCAACCATGTCCCCAACCAGTGTTCTCTCTGTGTCAGCCTGCCCAGGTTTTGTCGGAATTTCCTGGCTCCTCTAACCTCACTGTGGTTCAAAGACCACCCTCCTGACTCCCAAATTATCCTGTGGGGGGTGGGGGATGGGAAGAGGGAGAAGAAATAAATGAAACAAACTGGCTGCATGTTGGTAACTGTTGAGACTAGATGGTCAGTTCATGGGCATTCATTATACCATCTCTCCACTTTTGTATGTGTTTGCAATTTTTCATAATAAAAAGTTAAAAGTTTAAAAAGCCCTCCAGCTTCCAAGACACTCAAGAGAGCCCCATCCCCTAACAGAGTTTCCTGGAAACCCCACACCAAGGCAAGAAAGAGGCAAAGAGGATTCCATTACCTACATATATATATATATGTATATATATATACTCATTTTCTAATTTTTTAAGGCCCACTGCTTTATTTTCAATAGACTAAACCATATTTCTAAGAGGGCCCCACGTTGGGCTTACTTCCTCCAGCTGGGTTATGGGGGAGGGCTGGGTAAAGGGGTCTTTAAAATCCTGAAAGTTTACACTTCCATGTACCTCGCAATCTTGTTGTGAGGATGGGACTTGTTCAGTGTTCTGAACTTTGTGGAGGAAACACGCGCCCAATTCACAGTGTCACTCCCTGGAATTGCACCTGGCTCAGGAAAGGACTGTCTTTGTACTTGAACTTAATCCAATGGAGAACCTTAACACGGGCATTTGCATGACTGAGAATTGCTGCTGTCTTTTTTCCGTATGTCACTTTCATGAATGTGTTCTAATAAAATGATTCTAAAGCAGGCTGTTGATATACAGTGATTTATAAATACTCTCTGTTGAGTGCTGAGGCCATTAATTTTCTACCAAGAATCCACCCCATCCCACTTTCTGGAAAGGTCTGTCTAGCTGGGGACAGACGCAGTGAGCATACATGTGGCATGCCGTCATGGCGGCACTTCTGCAGTTGCTATCACTAATAAGAATCATGTCAACCACAGCAATTTTGTGTTCTGGTTGCCTAGCAGCAGAATTTGTTTTCCAGAAGAAAGATGGCCATATGTAGTAGATTAGTATGGTGGGGAGAGCGGAGGAGGCAGGGCAAAAACAGGAGTAGAATTCACTCTACCAGGGAGGGGTGGGGGGGGAGCAAGGTGGAAGGAGAGACAAAGGCAGCCAAAAAGAGAGACAAGCAAAGTTCAAACTTGTTCAGTGATAAATCTCAGCACATTCAAAAGATAGTGTTGTTAAATTTTATTTACAAAATAGCACCTTTTGCTCTCTAGCCATAGCAAGTCAGAAATCTCCAAATCTCATTAAGCAAACTGGAAGCAAAAGAAGAAAATCTATATTTCTGAAGGTAGATATTTTGAGAAACACTTTTTATCCCAATCTTTATTCCCCTAAGCCGGGCTGGCCAGGGCACTGCCATGAGCTGGTAACAAACTTAGTCTGGTTCTCTGGGGAAGCAGGCATTGTTAGAAACCTCATGGGGCGGGGGCGGGTCAGGAGGGCAGAACCAGACAAAGAGGCTTCCATTTACTGAGCACATTTCTCATACAGATGCTGGGAAGGCACCCGATATACATCATCTCCTCTAATCTTCACAGTCATCCTGAGAGGCAGGCAGTTCTGTCTTCATTTTCCAGCTGAAGAGGCTGAAGCTAAGAGAAGTAAATAACTTACACGATAAGTCATAAAGCTAGAAAATAGCAGCTCTGAGATTCAAATGTAGGTCTCTGATCTCCAGATCCATGCTTTTTCAAACCACAGGCCTGATGGCCCAGTGCCAGCTTGGGCTCTCCCCTGTGTACTGTCACGGTCTTCACCTTAATGAATTGTGCACCTTCTGTATGCCCTGGGGGTAGGGGGCGAGCACAGCCAGTATCCTGCTCTTCCTTGTGTGATTGGAGGTCTCTTCCAGGCCAGGTCTTTGTGGCCACATCCATGTCCCTGTGACTTATGCAGAGCACAGGCTGATGAGGCTAAGATCACCATCTGGCTTTCACAGGGATTTGCTCACTCAGCAAATACCTAGTACCTGCAAGTACTGGGCATTATGAACTAGGTGGACAAATATAGACTCACCGCGTTCTCAGGGAGCTTACCAGTAGAGGAGACATACATTAATCAAGTAACTCATCAATGGATCTATAATAACCGCTGAAAGGGACCTTGAAGATCACTGAGATCAACAAATGAAATGAGACCCAGAATAGCTACCCAGTTTGCCCAAGACCACACAGCGAGTTAGGGGCAGAGGACTAGAACTCAGAACTCCTGTTTTTCACTCTTAGACTACTGTTTTCCCTGCCACATCACACTCTAGTCTGCTACAAACATAGACTGTCCCCAGCCCCAAACAGCCAGATAAACATGTTGATCAATCAGTACACTAGCCCGTCTAGTAGAATCCAGATAGCACATTTTGTAATGATAAAGAGTATAGTGAACCAAATCCCCAAGGATGGCATATACTCAACCCATATTTATAGACTTATTTCAGAGCCCAAAGCAGGAGCAGAGAGGCAAGGCTCTCATGTTGTAGCAACCTTGCCTAATAAGGATGTTCGCAGGTGTTTCGGTGTTTTGGTCTGACCCCACTATTTCCTCATCTCCCAGGTTCAGCAGATATTCATTCACTCATTAATTCAACAGATATTTACTGAGTGTCCGCTAGTCCACTAGGCACAGTTCTCAGAGCTGGGGACACAGCAGTGGACAAAATGGACTGCCCTTGTGGAGCATACTTTCTAGCTTAGAGGGAGACAGACAATCCACCAAGTAAAGAAGTAAATAACACAGCAAATTAGAAAGTGATAAGTGTTACAAAGAAAGTAAATCAAGAAAGGGGGAAGGCAGTCTCTGAGGTGGGGATGCATTTTTAGGGTGGTTGGGATAGAGACCTACCTGAGAAAATGATGTTCCAGATCATCATTTACATACACACACACGCACACACGCATACCCACATACTCACACTGTGCACTGTGAAGAGTCCCGTAAGCCTTCCCCTACCTCCTGCAGAAAAATAAGTTTGTCAGTGGAATGTCCCAGAGTCTGATTCCTAGCTTGCTTTTTTTGTTCTTAAATTTGAGCATGTATCAGGCTCATCCGGAGGACTTGTTAAAACAGATTGCTGGGCCCCACTCCCAGAGTTTGTGATTCAGTAAGTGGGGGTAGATCCAAGAATTTGCATTTCTAACAAATTCCCACGTAATACTAATGCTTCTCATCCAGGGACCACACTTTTAAAGCCACCAAGTTAATCTATTATAGATGGAAGGTCCCTGTTACCCAAAAAAGGATGCATCCATTCACTAGGGTGCATGGATATTATCAGAGTAGCTATCCTTGAAGAGCAGGGGTCTATCAAGAAAGGGGACTATTTTTCATTGGGGTAAGCTTCAGAAACCCCAGCCTGAGGCCCCAAGCACTGAGGAGGTAGGGCAAGGGACAGTTCCTGGAAAGGTGGCAACAATAATATTTCATTGCTTATCTAATAGTGCTTTGCATTTTCATAGCATTTAATACTTTTACAAGTCCTTTAGCCCACTATCCTCTTTTGGCACAGTTAACTTGTGAGGTAGACAGAATAGGTGTCATTATCACATTTTTTGGAAACTTGAGACACAAAGAGGTTATATGACCTCCCTTGGGCATCAAGGAACCCTAGTGGCCTTATGACTAGTCCAGTGTTCTTTCTCTTTTAACACTTTTCATAATGCTAGCTATGGTTTCCTCCTTGGCCATCTACCCGTTGGTCATTGAAATCCAGGACATCTAGTCACTCTTTGCCTTTTGCTCTGTTTAAAATCCCACTCGCTGCAAGTGGATCATCCATGTGGGCGACTAACTGTGGCAAATACTAAGACTTGCATGAGTTTCCTCTGCCATAAACACATCTCTTCTACTACCAGCTATTGTGCATAGAAAATGCTAACTCATTTTAATATTAGCCTAAGCTAGAACTAATCATTATGAAAGCAAACCTGCTGGGGGAAAAGCACACATAATACTTCCAAAGGCAAACAGAAATGGCATTTTGATTATATGTACCATTGCTTCCTTTCCATTAGCAGAGATAATTGAAAATTTTCTGTATCACTAAAGCACACAGCAAAATGAGAGTGGGTTTTGTTAAATCTGATGGCTGGTGAATCACTTTCCCAGGTATTCAAATATATATTTAAAAAAAAAAAAAAAAAAACATGGGCATGAAAGGTAAAATTCTCCCTTCCAGTATTTGCTCTTCTGGTGATTTTCTCCAGTCCTGCACTGATTCCTCACAGTGAGAGAGTGGTCTCTCATTGAATCTCACATTCACTGCGTTTCAAAGCGCTGTCTCTTTTCAACTTCCATACTGTTTTTGATCAACCAAGAGCCCAAGGTTTTAAAAGTTTTATTTC